CTTTCAGTCTCTGCGCACTGGTCCCTCCTCCCTCCGCTCCCTTCCCCTTATAGCACCACATTCATGACGTCTCTTTATTTCTACATCAATTTGAACATCTATTTACACCTTGCGGACAGCACTGTGACCAAACTCACATCCCTGAGGTCAGGCCAGGCTCTGGGTTCACCCGTTGACGGTCCTTTCTAGCCCCGAGGTTGGTTTTTGCCCGTGTGTTCGGGTTAAGTTTCTTTCCTGATTTAAAAATTGCGGGAAATTCAATTTCTTATTTTGCTCTCTAAAAAGTTTTCTCTCGGTTATAGGGATGCCTTACCAAATTTTCGTAACTCCCTGGGTGTTCTTTGCCAGTCCAGTCAATCCTTTTGGGTAACAGCTGTAACGGAAAAACAGTGTTAAACGGGTCTAGGTAAATTCCAAGGGGTCGATTTTGTGTTTTAAAGAATAAATATGAAATCTGCGTGAAATGAACAGCTTGAAGTGCAGCGCAGTGAGATGCGACGCGAGTAGGGCTCGCGCTGCTTACCTCCTTCTCCTGAACCTCCCGTTTCAAGGTCTGAAAAAAGCACAAAAATAGCAAATTACGCTTCGATTTTTTCCAGAAATGTCGTATACAGTCCTAAATGACAAAATCACCCACCTCTGCCGCGTCCTGACAAGGTCCAGCTTCTAAAAACCGGGCTATTAGGAAGTACAGTTCTGCGAGATGGGGGAGAATGAGCTACATTAGCTTTCAAGAAGGACGTGGTGGGAGAGGCAGATGTACATACAAATATTCCAACGTCACCTTTCTCAATCCCTTTTACTCACCGGATTTCAACTGCGCGATGTGTTTACGCTCAGCAGCCATGTTTAGGGTTGTTTTGGGGGTGAAGGAGAAGGTGTGTGGCCGTTCTGGGAAGCGGGTATCGCTAGGCTGCCCTATAGTTGTCAGTGTTTGTTCACCAGGAAGAGCTGCGCCTCCATTCACCCAACACACAGAAAGCAGATCCGGCACGTCGCGCGAGGCCTCCGCGCCTCGCAAAATAGTCCGCTCTCAGGCACAACGTGCCACGCGTCGATGCGGACAAACACCCCGAGAGCCGGGGCGTTTGGGGTGGACAAGAAACGATGTTTCTAAAACGTGCCGTTTAATGCACCTTACGGTGTTCGTGAATATTTTGGGTTTCAGCTTACGCTCCTCACCCCCTCCTCCCTCTAAAAAGCACAACCCCCTTTGCGCAGGAATACACGAGCAGAGTATAGTACGTACGCGCAGGACTGTGCTGTCAGGCAGGCTGCGTTGCTAACGCTTAAGGGGAAAAAGAAGGCAATGGTGGCTCATTTTATGCAATAATTTAACTGTTCATTCAGGCTACGGTTATTTGTCTAAGTCCCATACCCTGAGCTTTAATGGCGCCTCTTGTTCCTCGGTCTGTCGACCTTGCAGGCAGCGAAGCTCGGATCTCACACCATGTTTCTCTCACAACAGCATATTGAAGCTTACTATCAAACACCTGAAAACTACCCCCGTATTTCTGTGATTGTAAAGTGTATAAAAGTCCATTCGTTTTAATCTTAAACCACACTTATCCCAAGGAACCCACCCCCTCTTTCGGTAGTGATTTGTCCTCCATTTCTTTCCCAAAACGAGCGGGCAGTAAAATGGGGGAAGGGTTGTAAACAGGGAGAATGTAATGAATTAAACCTTGTAAGTTAAAGGAATCCAGTGACTAATGGCAACACCAGACAAAATAGGACATTGATCGGTGATCTTATTTATATATTTATATGCCATAAGATCTATCTATTTTAAAGAAACAACATACAGACTGTGTGTCCATGTCTAGTTAAAGGTTGTGTAAAACAGTTATATAAATTGGACAAAGTGTTTAAATACTTCTATCCACAATACTATATTAATTACATATACGTATTATCAATTTTTCTTCTTCTTATCTAAGCAATCAAAGGCATAAACAAGCAGTGAGAATGTCTGCTTTAAATGAGCCAGCTGAAGTTGTGCTTTATATGTCTACGGACTTAATTTAGATAAATGTATTTATGAGTAAGTCATACGACATTGAAAAGGCCTGTTGAGTTTTCACCTTCTGTAATGATAGTGCTGAGTGAAGTAGTTGTGGAGTTCATGATATAACCAGTCTTTACTAAGTTCCCTAATTAGTTATCCATGTTAAATAAACACCACCAGCTGTTTTACAGCCAATGCTTGTGAAGTTCAAGAGGCTAAACCTACTTTTTAGCTTTGACCGTATTTTGCAAGTGATGCAAATGAGAGTTCAAACTGAGGCTTAATATCCCAGCAACCATTAAAGAATATAATAACATACTTTTATAGACTATTTTTAACAGATTTTTTCATGTCGTTTTAAATATTTTTTATTTATTTTCATGTGCATATGATGCATATTTGCATATACAATTCACATATACAATCGTGTTCGTGAATTTTGAATGTGTGTATGCACTTACCAATATCATCCCCAAAAGGGAGTTCAATCTGACAAAACCGTTCTTTAAGGATATTCAAGGTGTCCCTTTTTGATAAGTAAATTTTAAAAATCTAAAGCTGCAAAATAAATTAATAATTAAAATAGTTTTGTATATTGTATTTATGTATGTCTGCACACACTGACATTGCCATAATCACAAATTCAGATAGATTTACTGCACTCTTGTTTTAAGGGGTGAGGCATCAAAGTGAGGCATTAGACAAAGGAAGCATTTGAGGTTTGCCTTTCCTTTTTTTCTCTGAGCTAAAAAGGTGACTTTGATACAATCTGTGACTTTTTGTTTATAAAGCTGATACAAACTGCTTGCTAGGGAAATCCTGAGTTCAACTGTTACTTTTAGCTGCATTTGTTGGTGTAACACTTGCTAAACTTCTGACACTAGGAGTATAATAGTGTGGAGGAGAAAAGCAGTCAGATACTTAAGAACTAGATGAATATAGCAGCTTTGGCTTCGAGGCTACTTAAGAAAAACTGATCCAACTTATCACACTTTTAAATAACGGTGGTGATCTGGTGAACTGGCTGAGTAGGCATTAAACTTCACAAGTAGGTTCTGACAATAGAAAAAACCCCACTCAAAGTGTGACTCATTTTGATCCAGAATACTAAAAATACAAATCATAAACACCTTTTTAAAATATATTGGAGTAAAGAAGAATGTTGTTATTTTGTGATCAGTGGCTTGCAGTATTTTTTCTTGCCACTGGAGGTCAGGACTATCATTTCAGTTGATGAGTTCAGGGGCCAAACATGGGTCAAAGGTTATAGGGGTACATAAATCAAGTTGGAGGGTTTTGCCTCCTTGGATCTCAGTAGATTCAACAGAGCATTCCAGACTGTTATATTTTGCTAAAATAATAATTATTAATGAAAGCGTGATCATTAAAAACATTTCACAAAGAGTAACCTCTAATAATAATCAGTAAATATTTAAAGTGAGGGATACAATCATGTAAGCATCAACCACAACAATTCTGTATCAGAATCAATCAGTACATAATTCTGGGCTTAATTCTATACTTCAATGCATAATACATAATATATCTCTATTTTGTTGATGCATTATTATTTGGTCTTACATATAGAGTTTTCATGGTATGTTTATTTAAACTTAAGCAATGTGGATGATAAGAATAATGTGAATAAAGTTTCCTGTTCCATTTTATTTAGAGCACATTTACACTAATATTAAGTGCTGAAAAAAATATTTTAAGTGTCTGTTCATGAAATTCAGTGGGTCTTCTTTGTAAAAGCATCCATATCATAAACAACAGTAACACTATAAAATGCACAGCGTTCCTGACAAGTGTAGATCCTCTAAAACAACCCAATCACTTTTAAAAAGAAAGAAGCACTTTCATTTCTGTACTTCAGAAATATGTTGCCTGTGTGATCATTAAACAGATTTATTACTATATATGGGGCTTTTGGTCTATTGGCTGGGCCTGCAGAAAGACAGGAGTCCAGACCAACGAGTGTTGTCAGTCCATTCATTTCCTCTTCTCTGTTCCTGCCTCCCCGTGGCATTGCTGACCTTTCACTTTCTGACATCAGCAGTTGTATTTAGTGAGTGTGTGCGTGTGTGTTTAGGGTTACATGTGTATAAAGAACTATACTGAAAGGCCTTTGTAGCTTTAGACTAAACACCCTGGACCCTCAAGAGTTTTCCACAAAGTTAACTATGTTATAGTGTTGCCATCATTTTTTTTTTTTCACTTTCTCCCTATGAATTGCATTTTTGGAATTAATAGCAGTCTTTATAGTAACCAGTAATGTGCTGTTTTAAATCATGTGACATTTTATATTCTTTTTCAATTTTTCCTGAGGAACACACAAGCTGAAAGTGCACTACGTTTCTTTTACATCTGGATTTCGGATGCATCATTGAGAAGTTAAATACCTGTTTTCGTTCACAGATGTTTATCTAACATAATTTTACAATTCATTGAGAAGATATGAGCCACAGCGGAAAAATAACCATGTTTTTATGTGAATTTCATCATGAGCAGTTTCATAGTGGTATCAATTGTTACTGGAAAAAAGTGACTAGTTGTGTTTTTGAATAACACACTTATGATTTGTATTTCATGCGTTCACAAAAAATAAATAAAGAAATAAAGAGTAATATTATAAAGAAATAATAGACAAGTTTCACTCAATTCTAATTACAAATGTATAAATAAATCAATTCATGAAAGACGACATTAAAGAAAGATTGGTACTAATTTGACCATTTTCCATTGTTGTTCCAATACTGTATTTAATTACATATTTACTTTATTAGATTTGTCCCCCCCCCAAAAAATGAAGTTGAGCTATTTTGGCAAAATAGTGTTTTTTTTAATTTATTCTAAAATAATTTTTACAAAATTCTAAAATTAGTAAAAAATATTAGACCAACACTAAGCCTGCTTTGAACTTTTGTATAGAGACAGCCTAGTACTTGTGGAGCATTAAAGCAACAACTAGTAAGAAACACACAAGAGTCAATTGACCGTTTATTCATCTTTTATTTGAAAACATTTTACAGAGAGTATCTCTTAAACCAGTTCTGTGGACTTGTACATCTTTCTGAGATTGAGTTCTTATAGAGTTTTCCTAACCTTCTAGTACAAAGCACCACTTGTTTATTGCTATGGATTTCTGCCACTGTTAAGGGTCATGTTTAATTCAACAATTTTAAAAGAACACACTAGAATCTCAAAATGCTACAAAGGAGATAAAGTAAAGGGTTACTATTTAAATCTCTCGGCCCCATTTGCTCCCTCTTTCTGTATCTCTCGCTCTTTTTTATGATATTTAACCAATTAAATAACAAGACTCAAAGGCAATACACACCAAAGACTTGCACCTTAGTAACCATATATATGGAGCTAAGGATATGCGCTCTGGTGGCAAAAGATGAACTGGTTGCTTTTAACAGGTAGGATGTGACATGTTCCAAGTGGCTGCATTTGGCAGGCAAGCTGCTGGTGAAATTTTCAAGAATAACTGTTGCTTTTCCTTGAAATGAATCTATCTTTCTGTCAGATGAAAGAGAAGGAGACAGGTACGGTGCTTCAGCGGGGAGTGTGAGTCGACTTAGCTAAGGATATCTAGTACGGTAAGTCTAAAAAAAGTTTGCATTTTACAAAATACTCAATAGGAATAAAAAAATGTTCTTTGTTATTCCAGAAAACAACTTCAATCACTCTTTCGCCTCAGCCTCAGTCTTGGGCTCAGTTTCCTATACAGAGGGGAAAAAAATCACAGAAGAAAAAGAATATGATTTCCTAATGCAGGGAACGTTTTGATAGGACTTAAGTTTTTCTAAAACTGTTAGATTACCTGATGTGAAGTCAGACAGACAGAACAAAAGCCACTCAGTTAGTATGAGTAAATCCACATACAAATGATGACCACAACTTACCTCATATTGGGAATCATAAAATAATTTGTTAACGGAATAGTTCACTCAAAAATGAAAACAGCTGAAAATGTACTCACTCTAGATCCGTTTGTTTCTTCATCAGAACAGATTTGGAGAAATTTAGCACATCACTTGTTCTCTGCAGTGAATGGGTGCCATCAGAATGAATCCAAACAGCTGATAAAAACATCACAATAATCCACAAGTAATCGGCAAAGCTCTAGTCCATTGATTAACATCCTGTGAAGTGAAAAGCTGCTTTTTTGTAGCATTAAGGTGTTTTATCTTTAACTGTTTTGAAATGTTGTCACTTGTAAATGGTGCTTGATCTCAGCATATTTCTCCCTCGATTCAGACGAGATTACTTTTTCACTAGAGAAAGTAGTATTAATCAAAGAGGACTTGTAATGGTTTGATGTTAAAAACGTCTAAATTATGGATTTGTTTTTTTTACAAACATGCAGTTTTACGCTTCACAAGATGTTAATTTACAGACTGGAGTCGTTTGGATTACTTGTGGATTATTGATGGTTTTATCAGCTGTTGGGACTCTCATTCTGACGGCACCCATTCACTGTAGAGGATCCACTGGTGAGCAAGTGATGTAGTGCTGAATTTCTCCAAATCTGTTCTGATGAAGAAACAAACTCATCTACATCTTGCATGGCCTGAGGGCGAGTACATTTTTCAGCAATTTTTCATTTTTGGGTGAATTATTCCTTTAAACTCAACAACTTCCCTTATAATAAACAACAGGACAAAACCGATAAAAGAGTGCATTATGTTTACGTAATTATAAGTAAATCAACTTAAATTTGAATTAATTAAATTCAAGGTAAAATGTGTATTTTTAAATAAATACTTTCTTCTATCCTAGCCTTATGTGGATAGACTGACCAATGTGTATATCTGACCATTGAATGTTCAGGAAACCTGTTTGAAAACAGTAATTATTAATGCAATTGGGTACACTCTGGAATATCACACTTCAAAATCCTTAAGTTGTGATCCATAATATCAAAATTAATGCACTGAACATTATGGTAACCTTGGCTACCAATCATTCACAATGTAATTAATTCTGTTTTTTTTCTTCTCTATAGTCTCAGATAAAGAGATGGTTGAATATATCTAGATCTGATGGTGAAGAGCACACAAGCACACACTGCACTCTACAAACTCTCATACCCTTTACTCTAACACTCTCACTCTGCCCTCGGATGGACAGGAAGGAAGGGGCGGAACTTCTCCATGAAGACACACTGACAGATGAGCGTGAGACACAGATCTGTGCATGTGTGTGAGTGAGGGTTCAGGCACATGCAGGTGTTTCAGAAGCCATGAAAAGGGATATTTCAAAAGATGTTTAGACATCGGTCAATATAATGTAATTCATGTTAGTACAGAGCACTGAAAAATCTTGATGTGTAATGTTTCCTTATTCATATTGACACACGAAAATTGGAAAAGCAAAGAGAAAAAAAGGACAAATTATATTAGCTGTTTGTGACTATTCAACGAAATTGACCAAAGGTCAAAGATTCATGATTAAGATTACAAGAGTAACTGCTGGTTTACAGTAGTTAATTTGACGCAACAACACATTTAATACAAAAGAACAAGGAATATTATCCTTTAAGTTGCATTATTTTTAAAGCAATATTATAACCTCAAAATCAAACTTGCCATTGGCACTATCAGCCCATCTGAACTTTACATGAATACCACCAATTCACACCCAGTCATTTTATTACAAACCTTCCAGAATACACTTCACCACAACATGCCTGTAACTAGGTCATTCTTTCCCACCTCACATATCTGCTCTTTCATTCTCGTTCACACAACAACTGTTCTATGAAAATCATTTTCATGTCCTAGAGGACGATTCAAGTAATCTCAGAGCATTTTGAGGAAGGGGAGACAAAATTCATGTAAAAGCTATATAGCAACTTGATATGCTATATGCAATATTAAATGACCAATGCTGAACTAAAAGTAGATATACACTTCTTTTCAAAAGTTTGGGGTCAATAAGATTTCCTTTTATTATTTTTTTTAAGAAATTTATATTTTTATTCAATAAGGATGCATAAATTCATCAAAAATAGCAGTAAAGACATTTAATATTCTGCAAAATATTTATATTTCAAATAAATGCTGTTCTTTTGAATCTTCTATTAATCAAACAATCCTGAAAAAAAGTATTCGTGAATTTCAAATGAACATATTAGAATGATGTCTGAAGGATCGTGTGACACTAAAGACTGGAGAAATGGCTGCTGAAAATAGCTTCGCTATCACAGGAATATTTATTAAAATATATTAAAATGAAAACATTTATTTTAAATTGTAACTAGGGCTGTAGCTATCGATCATTTTAGTAATCAAGTATTCTACAGATTATTCCATCGATTAATCGGATAAGAAGTAATTTTTCTTTATTAAAGAGCAATACTAAATATGCAAGAGATGAGATAGATCTCTTAAAATAAACAACTAATTTGTTTTCTTTTTAGAAAAATTTACATTTTTATTGCTGAAATTGCATACATTAGTAACCGTGAAAACTAAACCCATTTAATGTATTTAATTGCCAAATTGCACTCAAAATGCAAATACAAATATATCAATAAAAAAATAAAATAAATAAATAAAAATAAAATAATCAATTTCACATTACTTAAAAAAAGGTAAACAGTACAAACTAAAACTAAGGCATAAATCAAAATAATAGTAATAAAAATAATAATAACACCTAAACATTGCATTTATGTCATGCAACTTAACTTTCAAGTTTCAGCCTAACTAAAGCTCAAGCATGACATAAGCCTTTACTGTCTTCTTAGAAGGCTTTGTGGCTTTTGTAAGAGGCAAAAATCAGTGGACAGGAAGGTAACTTGGAACAAGAACAAGAGACCATACACAATTTTTAAACACATTTTTCTGCAACGTGAAATTAGTTATTTGGAGAATAATCCCTCTTAAATGTCCCTATATGTACTGGTGTGTGTGTAAAACTTGTTTTTGATATCTTTCATATTCTGTGTGCGGGTCAGTTCACAGCAGTGATAGAAATTAATCTATTCCAATAAGTTTAAATTGATTTTTACATTTTATGGGCATTTTTACCTTTATAAAGCCTTTTTTTCTAAAAGTGTGCATCATCTTTTGAGTCAAATTCTTACATTTAATCAGTCAATTAGAACAAAAGACATTTGGGCTGTTACCAAACAAATGATATCAATATCAAAATTAATCTTTGCAATGCAGAGGAAACACAGAAGCTGCATGGGATGAATTTCCCACACAGAGGGACATGAATGCATTTAACCTGCAGTTACAAATGCATAAATAATATTTTGTTATTTTAAACATAAAACATTGAATACTGATATTTAAAATTATTTTAAAAACGAAAAGATACTTTAAATGTGAAATTAAAAGCGCCAGTAGGTGGCAGCAAGTCACTGTTAAGAAGTGAGTCATTGCGATTGAACCGAATCATTTAAACGGTTGATTCATTCAGGAACGAAACACGGTCATGTTGCTCAGAGACACAAAACAGTGCTGTGGCTGTGTTTGGAATTGTTTTGTTGGCCAAATAAAGCAAAAACAGGCAATATAGTGTCTAAAACGTAAGTCTCATATTACCTTCATGTTTATTGAACTGTTGAATAAAATCACATTTGTAATCATGCTGATTTTAGAGGTGAAAACTGGCCCTCTTCATGTGATATTGACTAACTTTCTTTCTGTGGTATTTTTATGGACAATGGCATTTAGTCTTTCACAAAACATAGCTAATGTAGGGACATTATAACTAGCCACGATATTGATTTACGGCAAATAATTTGCCTCGATGATTTTTTGTATTCGAGTTCCTCAAGGTATTCGAGTATTGTATTGTAACATATCACAATATTTATTTTTACTGTATTTTTTATGAAATAAATGCAGCCTTGGAGAGCACTTTCGAAAACATCAAAATATCTTACTACCACCAAACTTTTGAACAGTAATGTATAAACAAAAGCTTAGGAGTAAAATATCATTACGTACTTAATTTGTGCTCTTCATGAGTAATTTCACACTCTTTCTCTATTGAGGCCACATAGATATTCCCTCTATCTTCTCAAATGGCCAAACATTCATAAGGTCTTACTGCAAATGCAACACAATGGTATTAGCAACCAAAAAGAGTTAGCGCACCTCCTCCGGCTTGGTCTCTCCATTTGCAGTGGGCGCAGATTCTTTCTCCTCTTTCTTTCCTTTGGCTCCGCCCTTCTTCTCCTTTACCGCTTTGTCATTGGATGGCTTCTGTGCAGAAAACACAAATGGGACAACGGGTTAAATAATTCTGTCCCAAACCAGTTTAATTGCTCCAAAATACACCGGCCAGCACCAGATCACGCCAGTTCTCTCTACTGTGGAAATGCTACTAAAAAGTTAATATCATCCATACAACACACAAACTTCATTAACATGCTTTCATATATTCAGGAAAGAACTTACCTACAATGCAAAGCACATGCAAAAACATGCTAAAATGTCACAAAGATAGAGACAGAAAATAAGAAAAGAGAGCTATTACCTTGGCAGCTGGCTTTTTAGCTTTTGGTTCAGGTTTAGGAGCTGGTTTCTACGGGTTGAAAGAAAACAACAGGAAGAAAGAAGTTAAAAACAGTGTAAGGATTTCAGAACCGATAACACAAAGGCCACAAAAAGTGGTACATTTATGTATAACACGATAATAAAGTAGTTAGGTACAAGTTCAATTAAAGCAAACACATCTAAATTGCATCATTGAATAATACATAGACACTATCAATGTGTTTGTAAGTTGAGGATACCTAGAGGGCATGTGATAGCACTATATTGCTCATGTTTATGGCAAACTCGTTCCTATAACTGGTTTCCACCGCTTTTTAACCCTTCTAGGGGATATGCAAATGACATCTGGGCATATGGAAAGAAAGAAAAGACACTTACTGAGGAAAGACGCTCTGACCTCCGAGTGGGCTAAGAGAAGAAGAAACATTGAAAGCGTGCAGAAAGTTGATCAAATTTGCAATAGCTAAACCACAATAATGACATTTTTAATCTAACACCTAAACATTGCATTTATGTCATGCAACTTAACTTTCAAGTTTCAGCCTAACTAAAGCTCAAGCATGACATAAACCTTTACTGTCTTCTTAGAAGGCTTTGTGGCTTTTGTAAGAGGCAAAAATCAGTGGACAGGAAGGTAACTTGGAACAAGAACAAGAGACCATACACAATTTTTAAACACATTTTTCTGCAACGTGAAATTAAAGTTGATCAAATTTGCAATAGCTAAACCACAATAATGACATTTTTAATCGATTTTATTGGCATCAGCAATGTCAGTCAAACAAATATGTACATAAAATGATATTTAGGGTTAAACTGCACTGTTAACAGTTCTACATTTGAAAAAGAAATGAATATGAATGGTAGCTTACCTCCTGCTTTGTAACTTTGGTGGCGTCTTTGGCCTCTGCTCCCTCGGGTGACTGTACAGACAAAACAAACATGCAAAATGTGTACATACAGACATTTCTTCACACAAATACATTTTATTTAATGCGACAGGTACAGATTAAATAAGATTCGAAAAGACTTCTGAGACAAAAGTACTTATCACCCTTTAGATGCTAACAGGTTATCTTTTTAACTGATAAATTGACACTTGCAAAGATAATGCTAATTCATCTCAGTTCATACACAATGTTCAGTAGCTTTTGTCTGTCAGACTTCACTGGTATAATCAGATACACCGCTTTGGTCACAGATGTTACATAGGTCTATGGTGTGTTTGGTCATTTGGCTCTGGTAGTTTGCTAATGCTCTGGGCACAATTTAATATGACACATCTTCACTCTCAAATAAACTGGTTGCCAATATAGATCTGTGTTTATTACATTTCATAATATACTCAAGTTTATATATATATATATATATATATGTGTGTATACATGACAGAATTAGATACACAAATCTCATCTTTTCTTGGTGTGAGAACTATAGATATGTTATGAACCATTATTTAGTTCAGTAGCTTCACCTCAAGAGGTCTACACCTTCTCAGTTGTATCCAACCATTGAATCATACAACAAATGTCATTTTGACATAATCTGCTGATAGTCAATTCATTGTGATGAAATATTTTATGAGGTAATTATAACGACCAAAACATACTATTTATTTGTGTTCTACATTTTAGCTGCAATATTGATACATACAACCTTACAAAAACACCTCCAAAAGATCATATTTACACCATGGCAGAAAAACGTTTAAATAATATAATTAAATTTTCTCATTTTTCTTTGTTTCAATACATTTTGACTAACTCTATTTTGTTTATACATGGGGGGGAAACAAACAAAATCATTATTTTAAATCAACACTATAAACTGAATAGAAAATAAAACCGCTCATATAATTTGACCTTCTGTGGTTGAACTTTGTCTGGATGGTAGGCAGCTCAATAATAAAAAATCTTAAAACGCACTTAATTTCTTTATTTTATTTTTTATTTGGTGGAAAGCATTATTTTGGCGCCTATTCTTGTAACGTGTCCATTATTTGTTCAGTCTCACTAACTGAAGAGATGCTCCCCCTAGGGAAACTCACGCCTCAGTGCCTCTATCATGAACATATCTCTACTTGATAAAGCAGGAGTGCAATCTCGATGGATTTTTAATTTCTGGAAGACCCCCCAGACTGTGGACCAATATCAATAAAGCATCAGTTGAGCATTTTTAAAAATGAAAAATACTGTGATGTTGGTATGGTCATTGTTAATCATTTTTTCTCTACGAAGTCCACAGTTCAACAGTGTTTTTCTAACCGCGTTTATAGGCGAGAAAGAGTTGAGTGTGACTGAATAAGCGCTCGGTTACATACGGGTCTGCCGCTCCGCAATGGGGGTGGAGGAAGAGCCTGTCGGTTCAAACATGGCTATACAAAAATAATGAGGACCTCTATCGATCGACGAAAAGGAGCTAATAAAAAACGAACATCTCAAAATGGAGGTGAGCGAGTATCGTACGCATTCGGCGAGAGCAGAGCGCTCGGGTTTGATTCTAACCGAGAGCGACTGAAGCATCACCGCGAAGTGACATTCAGCACAAGTGCGCACAAAGTGGCGACTTCACTGCCAAAGAGGCATCGGGTTATTAAACCGCCAACTATCATGGAGGAAACCAGCAAGTGTGACGATGATCGAATGAAGACCGAACGTTCCATTGCTTCTGCAGGATTCCATAATCCAGTCCGCGGATTAGGATAGAACGCTGTTAAAAACTTAATCCTCGTTTTACCTGCTCGACGCTGCGTACGTTCTCGTCGTTGAAACGCGAGCCGCTATTTCTTAAAAAAAGCAGGGAAAATCAAGATTTTTAAATATAAACTAGCTTACCTTCCTCTTGGGCATTTTTACAAAATTTCCTGTCACTTGTCTTATTAAATTAGAAAAGCAGGTATGGACCTGTGAGGTGGGGAAGTGAGTTTAACTACGACCGAATACAGGATCAATATCTAAAACACCTCTGGTAATAACATGTTAATATTATGCAGACCTCAGACTCTACCCTCGTCTTTGTCCATTGGTCAGTTCGGTCCACACTTAACCGCCATTCCTCAAAGCGATTGGTCTGCGAGGGAAATATGTTAATATAACGCGCTCAGACATTGGTTCGACTTTAGGAAAGCTCTTCAGCCGCTCAACCTCATTGGTTACGCGCTCTCTGTATGCAAATGAGAGCGCTTTGTATTGGCTGGGTTTAAAGGTCCGCGTGAGAGGGGGATAAAGCGACGACACACCAATCCACGCTTGACACCGCACGCTCGGCTGTATGGGAAACGTATGCGCGGCCTCAAAACAAATGCAAGCCTACACTGAAAAAAAAGAAATGGTGTCCATTAATCTGCAACGTATCGAATCACAGAATAACATTTACTTATATTAAAGTAATATTTACTTACCTCAGCTGACGTCTCTACTTCAGTATCACTCCTGTTAAATAAGCATGAATGAATTAAGGAAATTAAATGTTGAAACTGGAATCTTACAACCTAAAATGTATAAATCTCACAGAAAGGTCACAGACGAGGCCACATTTCACCCCAAAATCAAGAGAAAATTACCTTAAACCTTAAAATGACTGTAATACACAAGACCAAAAATGTCCTTATTTAAATAATCATACATTAAAAGTAATACAATAAATACTACCATGATTTAATAAATAATAATAATTAATATATGTGGCAAAAATATCTTCATGGCATGGTTCATTATTTATACAGGCCTAAAGGTGCCCAAAATTATAATATAAAGGGCCAAAACTCAAACCTGTCTGAGGGCCATTTTGCATTAGATCCAATTATATTATAATATAATTAAAGATAATAATATAAAAATATATATTTTAAGGTATTTTAATAAATTTTAGTAATAATTGCTTTTTAACATTTCAATGCAAAAATCAAACAAAAAATGTTAAAACCAAAATATAAACTATAATTGAATATATGCTTCAGTGGCATGTTTTTTTCCTTCTATTTTGCCTGTCCTTGTGTTATGACATAGCTAAATCAAAGTTTATCATGGCCAACTTTGGCCCACAGGCATCTCTGATATATGGCAAAACATCTTTATGAATTGTTACATACAGAAATGTGACATTTTCTTGCCAGGTGTCACAAGATTCACACTATAAACCTATAATTGTCTCATCATTGATATAACTGATTCACACGACAGTCATGTGATTGAGGTTAAATGCACAGAACCATTCGCCCCCAAGCTCACAATAGCATCCCTCCACAATGGCCACATCTCTGCCACGACCTTACAATGGAAAACATTCTATAGTAACTTGACAATGGTTAACGTTCTACCATGCTTCACAACACACATGTACCTCTGGAAGCTTGCTGCCACTCCAGAGAAGACAATCAGAGGTTTCCTGTAAATGACAGAGGATGTTCACGTAGCAAACATACATTTCTAGGTCACACACGTCTATGGATCTGATTCTGTGCTGACTAATGGTTATGTGCATTCCAGTGTGTATGATGTTGATGACATCTCTCTTTCAAAAGCTTGTGGAAAGATGTAACAAACACACTTTAACCATAAAAACTGTATTTGAATGATCAGAGGATCACTATTTCAAAATCTACTATACAGTACAAAGTCAGATAACAAACAAAAAACATGCACAAAATCAACCTCAAGCCATTGTATTATCATAAATAATAGAATTTGCTTTCACAATGAACCATTTTAGCGCTACAGTAACATGCTACAGTGCTTTGGAAAACTGATGGATCACCATTAAAAGCATAGCAATTTATAGATCTCAGTCAGTTTGCAGTGAGAATTTCTAGATTATTGCCAGATTTTGTTCTTTTAAAAAAGTTGAGTAATGGTGGCCATGAGATGAAAAGTCTGGGAGTCTTTTAAAAATGAAACGTAGTTAAGTATTTGATTCGTGTTTACAGTATATTTCAAATGTAAATCTATCTCCGCTTTAAGTCCATGTATAAATTGTGACATCCCTCATTAAAAAGTCACGATTAGTAACATCAACCACATTATTTCTAGTATTTCACAACAGATGTCTCAGTACTTGAGAAACCCTGAAATGTTTGGATCGAGCAAAACATATATTCTAATTACACAAAAAAAATGTAACACAACCACTTGAAACATTCTCACAGATAACCCCGCATTTATAAAAATGAAAACTCATTATGGGAAAGCAGACCAACAAAGACACTGCATTAGCTGAGAATTCAAGTGCAAGTCAAATTACTTCAGAGTTTTCTGGTTACTAAATGGTTAAAGTAAAACGGACCATACCGCGTAACATAAACAAAAACATATACAGTGGCCCCCAAAAATATGTGTAAACGTACCACACATAGAATCACTGTATTAAATAATAAAATATCAAACCAAGAGCCATTTATCAGCACAAGTTCAATTTTCAATATGTTAAATAGTACAACAGAATCTCAAATTGGGACCGGTTTGTTAGATTTGAGAAAATGCCACTTGGTTAGATATTTTGCTATCTAATGCAAAGAAATTCACACATTTGTAACTGCCCATATTTTTGGGTGTTCTGTATAGATATAATTTGAGAATTTGCCTCATTGTTTCATCTATAAACTGCAAACTTTACATTTAACATTTATCTAAAATGAGAGAAGGGGAGAGAGACTAAAAGTGCTGTGTGGGAGAAGACGCAGAGTAGCTCTCTTGAGAGGGCAAAGCTCTGTCACACTCATATCAGTACTGAAAGTGCAGAGCTCTTCCTTTCAGACAAACCCATGAACTGAATCTTACACAAGACTATCAGCTAATGCATACCACCCTCTAGCTCTAATTATAACGTTCTTGTAAAATGGTGAGAAAATCCAAATACAACATTAACTTTAACTTCTTTCCATGTGGTATGCAAGGGGGTTTCTCAGCAATAAAAACACAGAGGAAAAGTCCAAAATGACCTGGTCTCCCACACCGATCAAGGGCTCAATGTAAAGTTTTATAGTCCTTAAATATTACTTACTCAACATGAAAGTGTTTTATGAATTATTTTTATTAAACAAAATACCTGATTTTTTTGCCACCCACAATTTTCTAAACTTGTAGCCACCAAAACAAAAGCATGACCAGCAAGGCCACTATGTGTCAGATTTTTGACAAAAAACAAGTACCTAAATCCCTTTAAGCGTCTCTGATAAACTTCAGAATTTTCCACTGAGGTATAAGTTGTTTAGACGACGTGCAAGTCACAATGGATGTTTTCCCTATTTGACGGGTCGTACATTCTTGATATGAATCACTCTTTTTGATTACATCAGCAAGGGTTAGATTGTCATTCTTACAGTTTGACTTAAACCATCTATTACACTGTGGTTCCTTAAAAGTTACTTGCCTACAGGTGACATTTTTTACATTTAGGGCCAGATTTGCTAAAAGCTTGCGCCAGCGCAAACCCTCAGTTGGTGTGAAAAGAAATTACTGTGAAGTATATGCATTTGTAGGAATCTCCCTTTCAGATGCAAAATTTATAGGAGGGGAGTATTTAAATATATCATACAATGCGATTTCTTAAGGTTTGCGGAAGTCAAGTTTACCACTATTTGCCACCAATTAACACATTTTGCATCTGACATGGCAGCCATAGTTGCTAACTGGCGCAGCTCTTGGTAGAATACTTTGGTCATTATGGATCTGGATGCGTCGGTGTTCTTTAATTTGCGCATTGTCAGTAGCTCATCCACAGAACTTTCCACTCCCTTCCATGCTTTTACAGCCTTTAGTGTGCAGTGAGTGTTAATATTGGACCCTTTGCAAACCTAACCATGAAAAAAGTATCACTGAAAAAGTCTTCCTCTGTGATTTTGCCGGAAGTGTTAGAAAACAGAGGCATATTAGCAAACTAAGCATTGTTTAATCAGCGATTACTTCATAAGGGAGCTCAGAACAAAATATCAGACGTTTCTGGATTCTTTCCTTGTGTTTTCAAAAAACTGATTCTTTCGTATTGGCTATAAAAGTGCCCTATTCAGAGTGTGACTTCTTCTATGTCATCATCAAATGACGTAATGGCCCTGACCGCAGGTCGGCTCTCAGAGACATGCAGAGTGCTCCTATTGTTGGGGAGAGAACTGATGTTTAGTACATTCGGTGTGTCTGTGTCCCTCCTGCGTCCACCTACTGGTCCTGATGAGAACTGACTTGTTAGAGGGGGGCTTAGGATCTCCATCTTGCTGGATGGATCTGAAGGAGGTGGTGTGGCTGAGGCACCAAAAAGCTGCTGCATGAGGTTAGACTTCCTTTCTTTGACCAGGCCACCCAGATCCAGCCCTTCATCTAGTTCTCGAGGTGGCTGATTTGCATTGCGTGCACCTAAACCAGCACGGGGGGCAGATTTACCAAAAGAAGGGGCGTAGCTGCCAAAAGCAAGATCAATATCCTCACTTGGTCCATGTGATCGGGGACCACCCGCTCTTCTCCCACTCGCCAATGTGTTTGTGTTCTCTTCTGGTTCTGTGAATTTGAAAATACCGTTGTGGTTCCGTTGCTCGGACAACCGCGGAGGAGAGCGGAGACTTCCTGTGTCATCGGAAAAGAAGTCAGAGTCCTGACCTTGAGTCTGCATGTTGATCTCACGCATCTTAGCCAGTAGCTGCTCTTTGTGCTGACGTTCCTCTTCTGCACTCTCTTGATTGACGGCCTGGATCTCCAGATTTCTTGCTTTAAGTTGTTCCTCTTCCAGTTCACGCTGCTTCCGGCTCTCGTCCTCCTTTTGAGATACAGACAGGCCAATCCTCTTCCAATCTTCTTCCTTTCTGTCCAGGCCTATTTAAAAGAAACAGAATTACTGTAGATGCAAACATGCATTTCAACAAGTCCACTACTGTTCAAAAGTTTGGGGTCGGTACCAACAATATTTTTATTCAGCAAGGATGCATTCAACTGACCAAAAATGTCAGTAAAGACTTTTACATTGTTACAAAAAAAGTATTTAGAGTAATGTATCTGGAGTAATGGCTACTGAAAATTCAGCTTTACATATAAATATATAAAGTATATTTTAAAATATACTAAAATAAAAAAATAGTTATTTAAAATTGCAATAATATTTTACAATATTACTGTTTTTACTGTCTTTTGAATAAATATATGCAATCTTGGTGAGAACAAGCAACTTTTGAACTGTTGTGTACATTAAATATTTGACAAACATCCATCAAATACATCTGCACGATTGAAAACTTTAGTTATTTGAGTTTCTTTTTAGTTATAATATTTTAACTATATTTTAGCTAACAGTATTTAATTTACTCAAATTGTTATGTTAATTATATAATTTATTTGTGTATGTCCATTTGACTGACTGAGACAGCAGGATGGCATCTATGACCAGTTACTTTCCTACCTCTGTTTCCCTTTGAGTTCTTCTCATTTGAGCTCTGCTGTTGATCTAGTCTTTGCCTCTCCTTGTCTTTCAGCAGCTCCATTTCTCTTTCTCTGTCATGCATTGCCTCTTCTTTTCTCTCCTTCTCCCTTGTTCGTACCATCTCAGATTCCATGTCTCTTTCTTTCTCTCTTTCCCTCCAAAACTCTTGAATCTTCCATTCTTTTGTTTCTCTTGGTCTCTGCTCCCTGCCTTGCTGGTTCTGCTGATATATTATTGAAGAAAATGGATGACAAACAAAGGACTGAAATAGAGTAAAACACAAAGTTCATAATTTCCGCAAAGTTTGCTCAGTGAAATATTATTTTAGTCTGCACAAAAATGATGGTGACAAAAATTTTCAGCATTTTCTCATCCTCATGATGTTTAAATTTGGCAGGTCGTAATCAGTTAAAAGACACACAAGAACCAATGACATTTGGCATCACTAATGTCAAAACTGATGCAACGTATTTGAAAATATATCAAGAGCAGCTGTTGCAGAGAATATGGTCTACTTAAATGATGCTCTATGGTGTCTTTTTTTTTTTTTTTTTTTGCCATTTTTGAAGTTTGACCACCCCTGATCACAAATTACAATATAAACATTCTGTGCAACTTCTCCTTTTTTGTGTTCCACAGAAGTAAGAAGTCATCAGTCTTAAATGAATTGAAGGTGAGTAAATGATAATAGAATTTTCATTTTAGACTTTTAAGCTAGACAAAACAAGTATGTCTCCCAGAACTGCTCTTGAAACCTGACCTGAGATCATTCTTAATTCAGAAATATTATTATTATTATGTATCATGGACACTCATGCTGTAAAACAAATCAGCCAGGTTACTAGTGCTCTTCTATTGAGACTATTTGGTAGAGTTTAAGAGGTTAGCACTTCATACAGCAATGCAATGCTGAATTAAAGATGTGAAGATTTGCTTTGGGAGCCAGAATATGAACTACAGTCTATTCTATTGTGTGCTGCATGCTGGGATACAGAAGGACAGACATTCAAGGCCAACCTTTTTTACCCTGTGATTCACTGTAGGCTTTTGAACCTGAAAGTCAATAATTAAAAATTACTCCGATTAATTAACAAGGAAATTCACGGGTATGTGAGCTGACTAAAAGGATTGATAGGTGATAAAACAGTATGAGAAAGACAGAGAGCGGAAGGATGTAAATTAAGCACTAACGAGCAAAATCAATCTATTAACAAAAGAATAACTACAAATATAACAGTATCAAAAAATGAAAGATGATGAAACACAAATAAATATATTCTTTTCTCATGAGTTATAAAATTTGAGAGACATTTTATTGTGTGCTGAGGTTTCTAGCTCAATATGCAGAAATTATGTGCTCTGTTCCAAAACCTAGTGAGGCTGCATTTTAAAGCGTCACATGATCATTCAATGACAAGAGATTCCAAAAGATTATTTAAGCCAAAAACTAAGGCATCATTATATGTATCCTTCACAGAAAAAAATACTGTGAAGTTCAATGAGCTCAGAAAATAATTAATTAATTAATTAATTAATTAATTTAAAAAAAATCCAAGATTGCAGACAGATTTGTCAATAATAAACATTACATACAATTAAATAAAATAAATTATTCACAAGGTAAAAATATTTATTTATATCTATTTATTATTTAGCATTCATTCAATATATATATATATATATATATATATATATAAATGTTAATTAATAATAGTTGTAAATGAAAAATGTATTACTTAACCCAATATCTGTGTGTGATGTACTTTCATTCTCACTGTTTGAAATCTCCTAAATGGAGTGCTATTTGCGAGTTGCTGTCGAAGACAACAAGCAGCTCACTAGATTTTTAAACAAAGCTATATAGAACATTGGTCTAATTACAGTAATGACATCACAAACTGAAGCTAATCGCAATTTCATGAACTACAGTTATCTTATGTTTAATAAATAAATAAGATTCAGAAAATGAAATCCAAAAAGACATGTAATTTATAAGATCTCTACTGAGCAGATTATTATACATGCCTTCAGAGAGAGGTAATCATCGGTCTGGTCGTCAGGTGGGAGTTCGTTGGTAAGAGCTGGAGGTGGTGATGGGAAGTACAGTGAGGACGCCCTGTCCTCTGTCTGTACTGATTTAGTGCTGGTTGTATTGGAGACTTCAATACATATACAAACACAAACATGTGGCAAAATACATAGGTTACAGGCACACAGATATACATAATGTAATACTCCACCCTTTAGAGCCCCCACAATATCTCTTCAAACACTCTGATTGTTATATGAATGTCAAAGTGATATATCTAATCCATAGAACCACTGTAATTAAAGCTGGAGTCACTAGTGAATCTCACGAGAATATAATCACCATAGGAAGATGTTTGTTGTGGAGTCATTACCTGTCTGCTAATAATAATTATGAACCTAATGTTAAAGTGTGTAAGAAGGCCCTGGGAGGAAGGTGCCTAGTACAGCTGTGTAATGGGACTTAGATCTACCTTTTCGCTTGCTGCCATTCTCAGCTTCTTTTCTGGAAGAAGCTTTCAGCATCCTGTTAGCGTAGATGTTCCGAGCATCCAGTTCCTTTTCTTTCTCCTGATATAACAAGATGCAAAAAAGTAATTAACCTATGACATGATGGATTTGTGATTAAAAGAATCAAAATGTAACTAAAATCTGCATATGATTTGTGGGTGTTTTATGTAAAGTATTTGGTACCTTTAGTTTAGTGCAAAGCCTCTCCATTTCCTCCTGTAGTGCTTTAACTTCCTGTTGTGAATCATGAGTTCTCTTCCTCTCATTAGCTAGCTGCCTCTGAAAGCTCCCACTACTCAGCTCCATGTTCTTCTCCAATTCCTGATGACGCATTACATACATTACACACACAGAGCCATAAAACAAAAAAAACACATATTGACTGCATGATGAAGGATGAAGTCATTATAATCAACCTTAGCCCCTAAAAGAAAGTTAACTTCCTCTGGTAACAGCTGTATGGATATTAATGGCTCAAACTCATTTATCCAACAATATAAGAATGGTAAGAGTAAACGTATAAAGAAAATAAGAAGCTTTGCACAAGAAGGATATCACTTATATCTTATGGAAAGACATTATTTTAAGGCGCACACAAAATATTATAGACTTATAAATTTAAATCAAAGGTGTAAATGTTATATTTAGATTTTAAAAGTGAAATGCATTATTAATATTTATTTTATTATTATTATATAATTCATAATTATTTCAATTAATTATAATACAATTCTAATTAAAAAATATATATAATTTATTATCATTCATTTCAGACATATAAATAAGAATTCTATAAAGTTTAAAGTTTTCTTTAAAGTTTTAATAAAGTTTATTTTAATAAAATAAAGTTTTCTTTAAAAAGAAAAAATATATATACCTTATAATTACACAAGAAACCATAAATTTATAAACACTTCTGGAAATTATGACATACATGGTCAAATATCCCTTTTTTTAGCCAGTGGATAATTTGACCTTTGGAACAAGTTTGAAAAGTTGACAAGCATAATTCCCAACCAACTGTATAAGTTTGCAAGGCATAAAAATGCATAGACATGATCAAAACGTAAGATATAGTGCTAGCTCAACAAGTGACAGCCCATCCTTATTGTTAAGCCCTGCACTGTGTGATTGACTGTAATTTTTTACCTTCACTCTGCGTTCACTTTCTTGCAATTTGCCTTGAGTGTACGTTAGTTTTCGTGAGAGTTCCTCCCTTTCTCCAAGATTCTGGTCATCTGCGAGTTGCTGCAGTTTCTGCAGCTGGCTACGACAGCGCTGGAGCTGGGCGTCCGTTTCCCTGAGGCTGCGCTCAGCTGTGCGCTGGTTCTCTTGACTGCGTCTCAGCCTCTCACGCAATACATGAGTCTCATTGTTGTGACGAGACAACAGCTGCGAGATCTCGCTCTCTGTGTCATTGTAGCGATGCAGAGCTTTCTCTTGCCGCAGCTGCATCTGTCGCAGTAAACGGTTCTCACGCTGCAACTCGTCTGCATGCAGCCTCAGCTCAGACAAAGCGTTCTTCAACTCGTTGATCTTTAGCAGACGTGCAGACAGCATGCGTTTGGTGACCGGGTCCACTTCTTTGGATGGAGTGTCTTTACTCAAAGTTTGGGATCGGATGCCTACTGACCGCTGCTGAGGATGATGGGAGTGGGGCGGGAGACGGCGTGACACACCTTTAAGTACACCTGAAAAGAACAACCAATATAAGTACATAAGTAATTAAATAAAGCTACAAAAAAAAAATATACATAAAAAAAAAAATATATATGTGCAGCTACAACCACATATAGGAATACAAAAACTTTCAAAAGATATTTTTGTGTCTTTAAAAGAAGTCGCATATACATATGATATATGTATATATATATATATATATATACATACATACATACATATGAGACTTATATAATTGAAATATATATAAAACGTGTGTTATTTATTTTTGTAATGGCAAAGCTAAAATTTCAGCCTTTAGTGTCACATGGTCTTTCGGAAATCATTCAAATATTTATTTTGTGCTCAAGAAACATATCTTTTTATTTCCAGTGTTGAAATCAGTTGTGCTGCTTAATATTTTGTGTAAACACAAAAATTGCATATTTTTCAGGATTATTTGATGAATAGGAATGTCAAAAGAACATCATTTATTTGTAACAATGTAAAAGTCTTTATTGTCACTTTTGATCAATTTAATGCAACCTTGCTGAACAAAAGTATTAATAAAAAAATAAAAAATAAAAAACATGATAGTTTTCCATTCACATGACACTTGATGCTAAATGTCTTTTGTGCAATCTGCTGGTCATTATTGGTACTGCAGAACACAACAGTTATTCTCTAATTAACCGATGCTTTAGTCAATTTAAAGGTTGATATCCACATTATATTTTGCTTCAAATAACAAAATAAAAATAAAGTAAAATAAAAAATAAATAATTAAATAAAAAATATAGATGTGAAGTTACATTTTGCACAAATAAACTGAAACCTATTGTTAGGATCATTAGGATGCGTTGCATCATGCCATTATTTTTATGACAATTAAGCACATCTACATTTAAATTATATTATTTTTAAATTATATTAATATTTTATTTTTAAAATCTGTTATTTGTGAAGCATTATGGTAGTAAAATCGTTCTGGAAATGTGCTTAACTGTGATATATTGTTATAAGGTAAAAATCTTGGTCCTCAAAATTGGCTTTATATTGTTTAAGCAAAATATAATTTATTATATCTTTTAGTTTTTGGAGTGAAATGTGACCTGGCCATGTCCTTCACAGGTTTTGTGAGATATATACACCAAGGACTCATTTATATGATTCCACAACTGAGTATCTTTTGAGTGAGAAAATTACACTGCCGCCCATCCCTCAGATCCTGGGTTGAATCACAGTAATCAAAGAGTCTCAAGAAACTTGATTTATATAAAAATAAATAAATAAAATAAAAAATGGCCATGCCCAATCACCACAGGATTCAGTTGCTGATGGCCTTGATCATCATGTTAATTACATTATACCTGTAATTTGTGGATAAGAGGAGACATCTGACTAATTTTATGTGATTTAGAAGATGTACACAAATGATTTGACCTTCTGAATTGCAGATGAATTTGCTCCATTATGATGTGTGAAAAGAGAAGTAAACAAGATTTTACATAAATATTGTACATGCTGAAGTTATATGTACTCAACAAGTTTGTTCAAATTGTGATGATCATGTTAAGGAGTTCACATGATCAGTGTTACAAATGTACTTATAAGATTAGTGACCTAGATATTGTGCAGAATCTTAAATATTTATTAATCATTGTAGATCATAAAGTTTCTTTTTAATTTTTCAGAATTTCTTAAAAGTCCTGCTTATTTATAGGTTTGCGTTAGATTTTTCTACATAGATTTTCAACATGATTTTTCAGACTTGTATGTTTACATATAACGTGTTCACATACCTGCTCGATGTAAGGGGCTGCTGGACACTCTCCTAGACCTCCCTCTTCTTTGTGGAGATGGAGAGGCTGATGGCGAGAGAGACCGATCTGAGTGTGAGACGTTTTCATAATCATCCGAGTAGAAAGAGGGACTGCTACGCTCTCCATCCGAACACTGATCCCGGTCTGGGTCTCCGGCCGGCTCTCGCGTTCTGGTTCGTGCATGATCCCCAACCGAGCTTTCAGTGTCTTTCCGGTATTTCTCCAGTTTTCCAGATCGAAAAGGAGATTCCGAGATCTTCCCATCACTGTGGTGAGACAATCGGCTGTGCTCTGATTCCTGATTATCCCCATGCAAGTCCATGTCTCTCCCTGCAATACAGTTCACAATGATCGAGACAGATCAAACTGAGACTGGACTGAATATGTGCTTCACTCACAATTAATAAGCAGCACACACACATCCAAACACACAAATCAGTAAAGGAATGATTGCTATGGCACGGTATGTTTGCAAATTAGATCGTGTGTGAGCCTTCAGCGAATCGTGACATAAAACCAGACACTAAACACTCAAGCTGTCTGAGAGGCTTCATCAAGTCTGCATCAAGCCACTGTCATGTTTGTTGCTCATTAACAAAAGTGACGTGTTATTAATTCTCATCTAGCAATGTGGCTGGGGATACAGTGTCCAGCCACTAACACATATAATGTATTCAGCCATAAAATTACGTACATTACTATTATTTAGTCACAACTGAGCAAGTCTCGAACACTAAGCCATTTAGACTGCATATTCAACTTGTATTATGTTCTAACCAGTCTTATCAAATCAGGGCATATATTGTGTTTGTGAAGTGCAATAGTTGATAAAGATCAGAAGTACAAATAAGGAATCACCAAGTGTCACAAAGAACAAAAAAAAATAGAGCTGGATAAAAGACAAAAATGAGCTACAGGAGATTGGTTGTATCCTCATAAAAATGTATTTATGACCCGTTTGTAAGGCTACTGGCAAGTCCTCCTCTTTCTGTGCCTGAACCTGCAGAATCCTGATATCGTCTCTGGTCACCGTCACCATGGAGACTGAGTCTGCCCTTTTGTAAGTGGCCAATAATATCATTCATTCATTCCTTCCTTCCTTAATGGCATGCTAAACACATTCAGTTACTGCCTGACCTTTCACCTCCCTCATTTTTGGTAAAATGTTTATTAAGACACCCATTACGAAGTGCCATAAATCTAAATTTTTGCAAAAAGAAACAAATTCTTTAAAGTTAGGATCAAATATTTAAAGTTAATATTAAAATATCAGAATTAAGGAAATCTTGAGTTATATGAGGCCTTCCCCAAATAAATATCAGCCCTATTTGCTACCTGCAGGTACAGACCTATTTAAAATATACTACTACAACTACTACTAATAATAAACAAATTATAATAAATTAGATTTTCATTCATGTCGGTGCCGATAGGTTTGCGGGCAGCATGCCGGCATACAGTGCTGTTGCGCTATGGGTGTCCCGAGTTCGAATCCCGACACAAGAACCTTTCCCGATCCCGCCCCACAATCTCTTTCCCGCTTCTCTTCTTGTCAGTTCTGATCTTCCCTATCATAATAAAAGCAAAAATGCCAAAAATCTAATAAAATTAAATAAAGATCTGCATTCATTAGTAATTGAAATCCATTTTTTCTGCCAAGGACCCCTCTTGCCTTTAGGTAAGGAATTTTATGCAAACGTAAAACTGATACAATACCACAGAGGTTAAGAGAGTTTTCTACGCATACAGTCTAATGATAAAACGTTTTATATTGCCATTGTGTTTTGGATATATATGACATGCTGGCATCAAGAACTGAAACCATCTGCACTTGACGCACCAGTTTGAATGGCCTTAGTAACCATAACAGCAACAAATGTCAATCAATTTGGTTGATATTACTATATAAAATTGACTTATATTCCGAAATATATAAAATAATATTGTGATGAACTTACAATAATGGAGTTATTATAGTTGCTGTTGCCAAATATCATAATAAAAGAGATTTTCAAAGGCAGAATTGTAAGTCATATAACGTTACCAATATAACAGTAAGTACAACTACAGGTGTCCTTAAACAATAAAGAAAGCAGTCACCGTGTCTTCGTTTAAAACAAAACGATGTAAGGCTGTATCTTAATAGGTGTCTGTATAGCTTAAGAAGCTGCTAGTGTTTCTTGTTTACAACCTGATTGTTCGTACTTTGTGTTGATGACAAAAGCAATAACAAACGCTGTACGTACACTGCTGCAACAACGCGCGTGAAATCAATTTAAAAGTAACGTTGCTTACCAGTTTCTTCCCTTCTAAGTATCCATATCTATACAGTCAGTTTCTTCATAACGTGGCTCGATTAACGGCTCGCAAACTCGCTAGCCAGCTACATGAGCTAGCTGGCTAGGGATTATATCGTGCAACTAGGACAACACACAACACACTCTACTGTAGAGACGACGCCAAACGATTAGCAAATCCTTATTCGATACGGTAAACAGGCGGTTGTTTTGGTCGTCTGTCCTGTAATCAAACAGCATCTGAGGTCGATTATGGCGGAGATTGTAGCTTTTGAAGAGGAATATATGCTTTACTGAAGGAGTTGGTGAAATCTCTGAATCCGCGCCTCGCCTTCTGCTACCGGTGTCATAGTGACGCTTCGCCATGGCAACGTGCGCGCCCTGTCCGTCACCACTTGTTGAGCACGGCTGATGTTACGCTGACAGACAGGCGTCAGGCGTCAGGCGTCGGTAATGCTTTAAAAGGAGAAAAAACCCTTCAGAAATATATTTAAAAAGCGAGTTTCGAGTCTGATTGGTGTTACTATGATAACACTTAGTGATGATAACACTCACATGATAGATAAATTATAGATGGTTAAAATATCTATTTTCAATAGAAACAATGCTAAATGAAAATGATAAATATCTAAATAAAATCCAAACGAGTCCCATTGATTTAAAACATTTTTTATTTAAAATATATTTTTGTCTTCACAGTAAGAACAAACATGCAAATGACCAAATAAATACCATGTAAATATGATAATAAATTAAAAAAATATATTTTTAAAAACTACACAACCACAAGTGTCTCGTTGATTTAAAATATTTTTAATAAAATCAAATTAAAGATGGAAGACGGCATGTTGGTGGTCCTATACCGTTCTTGTAATATTTATAAGTTTCAATGTTTTAAGAACATTTGGACATGGTGGAATGACCTGCCCAACTCAATCCGAGCAGCTGAGTCCTTAGCCATCTTCAAGAATCGACTAAAACCACATCTCTTCCATCTTTAGTTGACCCTCTAACTCTAGCACTCTCTATTCTAATTCTATTCTTTCTTTTTTTTTAAACTTGCCCGTTTTAGACTTGCACTCTATTTATTTACTAACTGCTTGTTTTCTTTAAAAAAAAAAAACTAACACTATAGCTTCTCTAATCTTTTTGTATTCTATCTATTTGTTTTCTTTTTATTTATTATAGGCTACAATTAACAAAAGCAAAATAGGCCTCTAACACTAGCTTGCTCTATTCTTTTTCTATTCTATCTGTTTTCTTTTTATTATATGTTTTTTTTAAACTTGCTACGTGTACTGCATTAAACTAACTGAGACTTGTTATAGCACTTGTATATCATTGCTCTTTTGTTGATTTTGATTGCTTCCATTGTCCTCATTTGTAAGTCGCTTTGGATAAAAGCGTCTGCTAAATGTCTAAATGTAAATGTAATGTACACATACGCATAATGGCAACAATGTTTTTCCTATATTTCCTTATATTCAGTAGTTTGCCATATCATTTCATTATGATAACACTTCGCAGCAACATCCTAACTATGGCAGTAATATACTTGCTTGAGAGGAGGACTTATGTAGCTTTTCAGGTATTTGACATATTATAATCGAATACATAATAATAACACAAGGATAGCCTTCGGGTTTTTTTGTAGGAGATGGAAACTACATTTCCCATGATTCACGTCTTGAGCTGGAGCCAGAGGATGAGCGCTCCGAGTGAAGTGCACTGATGGAGCACGAGCGGCTTTATTATAGAACACCGGGCGCGCGCACTCACTTTTAATTTCAAAGGGTGGCGTTGACGTCACCGCAGGTCCAAAGAAGTCTATAGAAAGGGAGAGCGCAACACTTCCCAGCCTTCATTCTTCCGCGAGAGGGCAAGTGAGGATTACGATGGTCATCAGAGTGTTTATCGCGTCCTCCTCCGGCTCTGTCGCGGTGAGTAACATGTTTACATCGCGCATTTCAGAGTTGCGTGTTGTAAAACTGGAGACTACCAGGAATGACACCAAACGACAGCTCATTTTTATTCTGTGATCTGTAATTTTATAATCTATTCTATATATTAAATATGTTAAATAGATGTAAGAATGTCTTGTATAGATTTATATGAATAACTTCGCTTCATGATACATTTATGGCACTCGGTAAGGTTTTTATGTGCACGCGAGTTATATATGAATATGTCAATAAGAGTATCGTTGGTTATTTTTAAGTAAGCCCGGGCCACTTCATGAACTTAACCCGTCCTGGAAAACCCACCCTCTCTTTCAGGCGATACCATGGTACAGTGACTGATTCAAATAGCAATGTATGGTACCTTTAATAGCCTATAAACCATTAATCATTGCTCATGGTATTTACATGCCACTCCAAGAATAATTTTCCAAAAAAAACACATGGTATTACCATGGTTTCAGGGTATAACTGTGGTACGTTTTGGTATTTTACATTTACATTACATTTTGGTGTACCTGTAAAACTGGGGCTGTTTTCAAGCCACACATTGCAGAACATTCTGGGTAGATATGACTTATTGTGACTCTAAAATGTATTAGTTATATAACCACTGGAAAACTCAGTTCTGATCTATATATTCAGAAACGATTTCTATCAAATGCTTTTCGGTGGTTATGGTTTATGCTGTATTTGAGATAATCCAAGCTGTTGTCCACCTCGGCGCACTGCAAACAGCCATAAAGCTTAGAGGTTGGACAAAGTGCACGTTTACAGTAAAAGCCAACCCCACTGCCAACTCCAATGCCACAATCACTGGCGTGCAGATCAACTCGGTTTTAATCGCTCTGTTTTACAGCCTGCAGGGAAAGCACAAGAAATGTCCTGATTCATTCAGAGCTGGGATTATATTTCAGCCATTTAACAGGCTGGTCCAGTGACATTGATTTTTAGTTCTTTAAATGAGGAGATTAGTGGTCGACCGATATTGTTTTTTTGACAGCCGATGCCGATATCTTGGAAAGCAGGGTGGCCGATGGCCGATATAAAGCCGATATACTTTAATTTATTTGATTTAATATTTAAGAAATTTGAAATCATTTGAAAATGGATTAAAAAAATAAATGTGTAAAATAAACATGCTTATACTTTAAATTACAAAGTATTTTCACAAATAAATATTTAATAAAAACATAATTAAAAAGGAAGTAAACACTGTAACCAACAGGGCACTCAGTATTCTGGGAAGTTTGTGTGCAAACTGATGGAGCACGAGCGGCTTTATTATAGAACACCGGGCGCGCGCACTCACTTTTAATTTCAAAGGGTGGCGTTGACGTCACCGCAGGTCCAAAGAAGTCTATAGAAAGGGAGAGCGCAACACTTCCCAGCCTTCATTCTTCCGCGAGAGGGCAAGTGAGGATTACGATGGTCATCAGAGTGTTTATCGCGTCCTCCTCCGGCTCTGTCGCGGTGAGTAACATGTTTACATCGCGCATTTCAGAGTTGCGTGTTGTAAAACTGGAGACTACCAGGAATGACACCAAACGACAGCTCATTTTTATTCTGTGATCTGTAATTTTATAATCTATTCTATATATTAAATATGTTAAATAGATGTAAGAATGTCTTGTATAGATTTATATGAATAACTTCGCTTCATGATACATTTATGGCACTCGGTAAGGTTTTTATGTGCACGCGAGTTATATATGAATATGTCAATAAGAGTATCGTTGGTTATTTTTAAGTAAGCCCGGGCCACTTCATGAACTTAACCCGTCCTGGAAAACCCACCCTCTCTTTCAGGCGATACCATGGTACAGTGACTGATTCAAATAGCAATGTATGGTACCTTTAATAGCCTATAAACCATTAATCATTGCTCATGGTATTTACATGCCACTCCAAGAATAATTTTCCAAAAAAAACACATGGTATTACCATGGTTTCAGGGTATAACTGTGGTACGTTTTGGTATTTTACATTTACATTACATTTTGGTGTACCTGTAAAACTGGGGCTGTTTTCAAGCCACACATTGCAGAACATTCTGGGTAGATATGACTTATTGTGACTCTAAAATGTATTAGTTATATAACCACTGGAAAACTCAGTTCTGATCTATATATTCAGAAACGATTTCTATCAAATGCTTTTCGGTGGTTTGCTGTATTGCTGTATTTGAGATAATCCAAGCTGTTGTCCACCTCGGCGCACTGCAAACAGCCATAAAGCTTAGAGGTTTGCACGTTTACTCGGTTTTAATCGCTCTGTTTTACAGCCTGCAGGGAAAGCACAAGAAATGTCCTGATTCATTCAGAGCTGGGATTATATTTCAGCCATTTAACAGGCTGGTCCAGTGACATTGATTTTTAGTTCTTTAAATGAGGAGATTAGTGGTCGACCGATATTGTTTTTTTGACAGCCGATGCCGATATCTTGGAAAGCAGGGTGGCCGATGGCCGATATAAAGCCGATATACTTTAATTTATTTGATTTAATATTTAAGAAATTTGAAATCATTTGAAAATGGATTAAAAAAATAAATGTGTAAAATAAACATGCTTATACTTTAAATTACAAAGTATTTTCACAAATAAATATTTAATAAAAACATAATTAAAAAGGAAGTAAACACTGTAACCAACAGGGCACTCAGTATTCTGGGAAGTTTGTGTGCAATGGTAATCACATTTTTTCAAATAAAGCCAAGGTAACACTCATTTTACATACAGCACACAATGAAAATGACATGAATATGACAGTAGGCAAAAGCATGAAGCGCAGCATAATTTGAAATCACGAGTTTAAAGTTTGTCGATCGCGCATCTCCAGTGAAGCTGAACTCTCAGAACTGTTAATGGCGTCAGCGAGCGAACCAGAGGGAGAATGTGAGCAAAAAAATTGCCAAATATCGGCCGATATATTGGCCTTGGCGATATATCGGTCGACCACTAGAGGAGATCACAGTCTCTGAACAGAGACTGGGGGGAGGGAGGGGCGACTGTATTCATATTTTCCTGTGATGTCATTCTTTTGGTGTTTGATGGTTATCAGATTATGTTTTTGTTCAGTGATTTACTGTGTATTTGACAGCTTTGATATGGAGATGAAGCATGTGTATTTGGATGTTAGAGAGGCAAGTACACGTTCAGCACTGTAACCTAATAGTACCAGAATGAAGTAACAGCCTGAGTTATGCACCGATTTCTGCTATTTCTACAAGACCCGGATTGTTTACCCAAAAAGAGCTATTTTGAAGTCTCCGTGGCCTCAGCACACACTGCTCTCATAAATAGGCAAACATCTCTTTTATGCTGACATTCTTGCTGACAAGATAATCATTAGAAAAGAAAAATGAAATGTTTCACTTAATAACTGCCACGGATGGACAGACTTACCTGTAATTTATATGCAAATG